GTTGCCATTGTCGTTGTGAGCCGTCGAACTCGTTTCGTTTACATTGGAAATACCGAAGCCCTTTATACGCTACACTGAACGACTTCTCTCGTGTTTTCTTATATTATAATAAGAAAAATCCAATTATCTTCAGATAATATTTATTCTTTACTATAACTACGGTCATCATTCGTATAATGTACATAATAAATTAAATATTCTTAATTCAGCGTTAATCACTGAAAATATAAGAATTACGATTTTACATGTATTTTTTAGTTGACACGAACATACGGATGTTCATACTAACGTACAATTTGCAATGCTTTTGATAGTTGACAATTGTATGTACTTGCGAATCTTCCAATTTTATTACGTTACTTAAGTGATGTACGTATTTTTTTTTTGCTTTTACAAATAATTTTTCCTTGGTACAAACATACTCCATGTTCATAAAAACGTACAAATCGATATGATGATTTGTACGTTATTAAGGTCGCGTACGTAACATAGAACATATGTTAATTAAGCGCAGTGAGCCACTTGTATTTGAAAGTATTGAAATAGAAATTGATTTTCGTTAGTTATTTTAATTAAAGAATTGACGTCGATTAAGGAAAACTAAAAATTAAATTGTACATGAAGTTAAATCAATACAACTGTTTAAATTTTAAATTAGATTCTAATTAGAATGATTTAAAATTGATGTTTATGTTAATTGGATCCAATCAAATTTCAATCAAAACTGATTTATTGATAAACCTATCAATCGTTTCAATTACAACAAAATTAAGTTACATCTACGCCCCACATATTAGTTTTGTTTTCTTTTATTATTATTTTTATAAAATAAACTACGGACAAACAAACAAACAGATCTAAACAAAAATCAAAGTTTTCCAAATCTCCGTGAAACTCATGAATAAGATATTGGATTGTGCCGTGCGTGATGCGCGACTAAGAAGTTTTTGTTACAAGGCTCTCTATTGAATAATATATAGCAAATGCATTTTCCTTCGCCTTTCCCCTATGATCGATATTCGGCTTCCCGTTGCACCCTCAGCCGTGTGTACAATTCATTTCGCCTTTCTCGGCACCATTTGTTTCATACGCAAAGTCTTCAAATATTTGCACCTTTCTCCGTGCATTACGATATTCAATTTGCTTTTCCCATACTTTATTTACATTGCATTTATACAATATTTAATACAGTCAAATCAAATATTGTATAGCATTTTAATATACGAATATATAAATAATTTTGTTTGATAGACCAAATGTTCAGAGGAACGTACGTTTTACCATAAATTTCCTATTTTACTATTGATATTCTGCTAATAACATTCACAATCAGAACTGTCGATTATGTACGTATTATCGAACATACGTTAAGTGAATTATCTTACTTTTCCAAAGCTTTTCTTATTACTACTTACTACTATTACAATCACCGTTCGCTCAACGTACAAAACGATTTTAATAATTTCTATGTAAGTGAATGTACGTTAAATTGGATGGTATTTATTTTTCATACAAATACATTTAATTACAATTTTCCACTTTACACGTTTTTTCTTAAACGCGCAAACATACTTGATATTCAGAGATACGTACTTTTTACCATGCTTTTGCTATTTTACTATTGATCTTCTATTAATAACATTCACACACAGACCTGGTGACATCAGTGTACGTTCGTACGTGCAGAAAATAATTGCGTACATATTATAGAACATACGTTAAGGCGTACTTGAATTGAATGTATTCAATTAAGTTAATGTTTCTGATTTGTATTACTCTTATTAAATATTAATTGTATTTAGAATTATTCGAACTAATTAATATATTTGATATAATATTAATAAATGGTAAGAATCAGATATTTAATTAAAAAATATCCGGCATATCCACTCAATTTTAAAAAGATTTAATTATCACTATTCCAATAATCGTTCGCTCAACGTACAAAATGATTTTACTAATTTCTATGTAAGTGAGTGTACGTTTAAAACATACTACGTAGTTTTACCATGATTTTGCTATTTTACTGTTGATATTCTGTTCATAACATTCACATATAGAATTGTCGACATCATTGTACGTTCGTATGTGCGAAATTATCAAATTGGATTTTATAGCAATTTATATAATTTTATGTTCAAAGTATACTTCGTGTTCTATATGATCTTAAAATATATTTCAGAGCGCTTTTTTTGTATTTCTCTTTGATATTCAACGGTGATCAAAGGAAGCATATACTTGAAATACTTCGTATAAAACGTACACAGTATAAAATGTGAAATACCACATGCAATTTTAAATCATCATCTCCTTTCCCCATTCATTTAATACGAATATACGTATCCATACATCATTCATGTATTACGTATAATTCAGTTGTGTGTGACTGCGGAGTATTTCATTCGAATTTCCAATTTATTTATCACAGTAATCGAATTTTAACTAGGCCGTATAATGTAAACAGTAGTTCGGGCCTCCAACGTTAATTTATTCTATACTGAAAACGTATGCAAATTTACTATATACGTATATATGTTTGTGTCTATATATGTATTGTATTATCCGGTTCGCTCGAAAACCGCATTTTGCTATACCAAAGGATTTGTGTATTCTGGTATTTATTTATTTACTTTTTTTTTTTACAATTATATTGACAGCTTGAAATTAAACGAAAATAAAAATATAAAAAAAGTTTAATAGATTTGGACTCAATGTTTGCTGTAGTCGAATAAATCATTTTAATTGAGTTTATAATTATAAAATAACAATTTATTAAACAATCCTATATATATATAAAGATTTACATTATTATTATATACATTTTATATATACATATATTTTATGTTGTATATAAAAATGAATTAGATATTTTAAATATGTTTAATTCTTCAATACCAGGCGCATCCACTGAAAAACATGTTTTAGTTTTTTCATTAAACAACAAAAAATGTAAAATATTTTAACAGTAAAATGCAAAAAATGTATTCTTGTATACAATCTGCAAGTTTTGCCATGAAACTTCTTGTTTAATATCATAGAATATTAGTGTGGCACTTCAAAGCGGATTGGGTTTAAGTTCGAGGTTTATTCTCAGGAATAATTTATCTGTTAGCTAACATTTTATTAATTGTATGAAGTGTATTAAAGTGTATGAAAAATATAAGAAAATAATTAACTTCTACGAAGGGATTTCCGATCTTCATCAATATGTTAACAAAATATTATATAGACAGTGGCGGATTATACACAAGCCTATACATTTTCTTATAGCGTTTAAACTCGTAAATACTACGGATGTAATTTTCATTCGTATTCTATTGTAATTTAATTATTTGGGTTTTAGTAATAAGTAGTGCACTTTTCAGTACTAGCAAAGCAGCCGCGACAAGAGATACTTATTTTATTGTAGAGTGTATTTTGGGTCAAAGTGACCCATCTATAGCAAATACGTTCTTGAAATATCATCAATATTTGAATTTCAAAGTAGAATAACATTGCTTTACCATGTATCAAAACGAGAACATAAGCAAAAACAAATTTATTCTACTTATTAAAAAAAAAAACGTCCAATAGAATCAGTTTTAAATCATTATAAATTTATTAAATAATAGGAATTAATCTGTTTTTGTTGTAAATCGGGTCATTTTGACCCATATGTAATAGTAGTGTTTTATTCATTTCCTGTGGTAGTTATGGATTAATATCATAATTCTTTGAAGATTTCCTCAGGATACAAATTGTCTCATCTAACTTAACTTAATCAGGTACTAGTTGGAGGCAAAAATCGAACAAAATAAATTAATTAATTTGTATAAAATATATAATATTTAATTTAATAACAGTGTAATTGCCAATTTATTCCAGTTATCAATTATGTACACACATATTTATTATTTAATTAACTAACAATTTCCAATTATCAATTGGAAATTGTTCCAGTCATCAATAATGTACAAAATTATTGTGTATTAATCAATATATGTGAGACTCGGCGCATCCATCAAAATTTATTACAACATTATCAATTGAGAAATGTAATTATAATAATTATGAATGAAATATTTGTAAAGAATATATTTGAGTTGTGTTTTTATGTAAAAAATATATTATTAGAAATTGTAATTTAATTGGAAATTTCTAATAATAATAATCCCGCGCATCCACCAAAATTTAATAACATAATTACATTATCAAGAAATGTAATAATAACGAATGAAATATTTTAGTTGTTGCTTTTTATATGTAAATTATTCAATTAAAAATTGAAATTTAATTGGAAACTTATATGAATTGTTTTCTAATCACTTATAGTGGATGCAGCGAATCCACCATTGTTTCAATTCTTAAATATATAAATAAGACACAGCTCGATTAACGAAACTTCGTTTTCAGAGGTAAAATATACTATGTAAAGAAACTTTTTTTTTTGAACGAAGAATATTAAATAAATAGTGAAATCAGATTTTATAATCAACTATTATTGTTATTCCAAATAAAGAACTTTCATAATTCTTTGCTAGTTAACAGTTTTGTTTTTGACAAAATCTTGTTTTGATTTGTTTTCTAAATCTTCCACTGAAAAATCATTATCTTCTAAATTTCTAATATCGACATTTTTTTTAACATATTGATTGAGCTGCATGACTTCATTTCTAATTTATTGAATAGTATTCTCTAATATTAAAATTTATGTATTTAGTTTTGTCCAAAATTCCATTGGAAAAAGTAGACTTTATTAAATCAAAGCTTCATTATTATATATGTAACGGTAACCGAAAAAACATATTTTTTTTCATGGATAAAAAAACTTTTAAGTTATTATAATTATGACTTTGTTAACCCTTTTTATCTGAATGTACTAATGAGTACCGGCATATTTATATCACTATTTAAATTATAAAAATAAGTAAAAAAGACTTAAATACTTTTTTGTACTTTAATGTGGACATAAAAGATATTAACATAAAATAATTGTTGTTTGAATTTGAAAAGGGACTCACCCTTTTCGCAGCGATCTCCGCCCCGACCCAAAGGACAGAGACAGATCGGTTCAAGGTCCGAACCTCTGATCGTGCATCCTCCCCCTGGTCCACAATCCAAAGGACAGGGTCGCTCCGTGGAGATGGGAGCTGTAGCCGGGATGCGACCCTCAGCCGTCGCCTCCGTCCATTTCTGCTCCAATCTGGGCCCTTGCGTCGTACCCTCCGTCCCATTATTGAACACCAGCTTGTAGAGTTCTGTTCCGTTTTCGTAACTCAATTCCGCATCGAATTCTGCGTCCTTCTGGTACAGAACGTCCTCCATATTATTGAGAATCATATTGTAACTGTCCGGTGGAGTCGCCGTCGAATTCATCTCTGAAAAAATCAAAAACACATAATAAGTTTATGAAATAGAAGAGAAATAATGATTTATTTTAATTTTTCGTTTTTGCATTAATTTTAATTTTAAAAAATGTCGTGAATTTCTCATTTTTCTGTGTAAAATTTCGTCGGTTTTTATGCAAATTCATTTTGCCGTTATTTTCCGCTCCGGCAGTTCCTCATCGTTAGTATTTTCAGAACGTAATATAATCATTTTGTTCTCTCTCTTTCTCTCTATTTTTTTCACTTTGTGAGCAAAAAAAAGGTTTATCCAAAATTTGAACATTTACAAAGCAGCGTTATTTTATTAACTTTTAATTACGAATTTTTTATTGAAATTGTACATTTCCTATTGAATTTTCTATACAATACTAGAATTGTTTGTGTTATTGATGTTCGAATTCGAATTGTTGTAAAAATATATATATTTGGAATGGAATGAATTTTATTGAAATATATTAAATTTAAACTGTATTAAATTGTTCTGAATTGTACAAGTATAAAATGTATGAAATCTATATAATATACATATAAAACGTATGAAATGCAATAAACTTACTGAATTGAATATAATTTTATGGGATGGTATGAAATGTTTGAATCTCATGAACTATACGCAATTAATTAAATATGAATTTCAGTAATGGTATGAAATATTTTATAAATATAAGAATTGATGTAAATAGATAAAAAGTAAGAAATTTTAAGTTCATGAAAAAATTTGAATCGCTGAAAATGAAATTGTTGTTCATTGAATGAAGTATTTTGGATTAGGATGAATTTGCGTGAAAACATGCTAATTTGGTTTGATAATTTAACCATGAAAGTTGTGAAATGAATACAAAAACGTATAAATAGAGAAAAAATATAAAATTTCTGAAAGATTTGAAAAATAAACTTATGAAATTTTCTGCACTTTCTGACGAGTATAAAGTATTAAACAGTCAAGCGTTTCAGAATTGTAAAGAAAAATGTAATTTTTAGTAAACTTTTGATTGGATTATTGATGTTTGCTTCAAATTGTTTTAAATATATATGGTATTTGAATAGAAATTTATTGAAATATATTAAATAAAAACCTGTATTAAATTGTTCAAGTATAAAATGTTTGAAATCTTCAATATAAGAATAATTTGAATTTCAGTAATATTTGGAATGATAAAAAAGGAATTGTTCTACAATTAATGAAATATTTTATATTGAATTTGCGTGAAAATTTGATAAATAATGAAACTTGTGAAATGAATATAAAACGTATGGAACTATAAATATAGGAAAGGTATTAAACTTCTGAAATATTTGAAAAATGATTGTATCTTTTATACTTTTCAAGAAACTTATGAAATTTATTAATTCATAAATAACTTTAGATTTAGAAACTATTTATATAAAATATCTGAATTGTATTAAGTTTATTAAAAAAAAAATGTAAGCAAAATATGAAATTTTGTGATAAAAAATACTTTATATTAAATATTATATAAGTTCAAATATTAATTCAGTGAATTAATTATACGAAATTGATATATAAATAAGTTGAAAGGATCCAGACAAATCCGTTTTGCTTTCGTCTTTTAATGATGATGTGATGCTTTGGTAGACCTGACATATGGCACGTATGTTTGTGTGTGCGTTGAAAGAAGGATATAATTCTTCCTAAAACCTAACACGCTGACTGGAGGACGAGATAAATCACGGCTGGAAAGGCGCGCGAAGATCCATCAACCACTTTAAATTACATCTTCAAAAAGAAGAAAAAAAGTAAAGGGAAAAAAGGATCGAGAAGAAAGGAATAAAATGTGTATATATATATTATCCTGCAAACACTTCGCATTTGTTTGCCGGCTGACGACAAACAGACGACATCCTGTGATCCATCCTACACGCAAGGATTACACGCGGATTCAAAATATTAATATTCCTTTCAGCGTCTGCAATGAATGGATGATGTTTTTTTGCTGCAACTTTGTACATGAATTAAGACTAAAATAGTGCACGGAATCAGGATTAAATGAAATTAAATTTACGTCGTCTCTTTTGTTCTTGACATTTGCCAACAGCACGCATTTCGGTTGCGCGTCTCGCCCCTTTCTGGCCTCGGGCCAATCGTGTTGATCCTTCCATTTTTTTTTTCGTTCTCCTTTGTCTTTCTTTTATTTTTGGCGTCCTTTAATCCGGCGTCGCCGACTTATTTAAAAAGCATACAAATGGGTCCATTTTGTCTGAGTTCAAGGGTGGATCCCTTGCTTTCGAGATCAAAGAAAATACGTTAAAATTTCAGCAATAAATTGTTTTCAATGCAAAAAAAAAAAAACGAGGTGGAACGACGAAAGGATAATCTTGTCCTTCAGACTTTGCGGTTTAACTCGATGTAAACTGCGTTAACATTAGTTCACGTGAAAACAATGTCCACGTTCTCTAACTTTATGTATACTACCAAAGCCCCCGGTATTAATCTAATGCAACTGTTCGGATAAACTGCAGCAGGATTTCACAAAAGTTTTTGAGTACATTCGGATACGATTAAATTTTCTATGATTTTATGTAATGTACTTTAATTATGTAATTTTATCTAATTATATTTCTACTGCAACGTTTTAATTGTTCAATTAATAATATTTGGGCTACTAATAGCCGAACCCACGTGCCAGTGATCACCGGTTCAAATCCTGGTCAAGCCAGGCACTTTGTGAGCCCTCTCGGTGTTTGCAGCAATAGGGCCATCGTTCATCACAGATGGACAGTGAAATGAATGATGTACAGCATATGGACCTTCACCCTTCAGCCAAGTCGATGGACAATGACAGTGTTAAGGATATATTCACAGCCAAAGTAAATATTAGAATAGCAGTGCATCAATATAATACTGAAGTCAACCTAAAAGACGACAAAATCAATTCATCATAATGGTAACAATCCTCCGAGAAAGATTACCTACCTAATGTCAACCGCGATCTTAAATTTACTCAATGTTCACATTTATGAACAGATTGTAAATAAATATTACACGACATAAAAGAAAAAATAATTTACTCAAGTTTAGTTTGCAAAAATAATTAAATTAATCGATTTTAGTAACCGTTTTAAACTTTTTTTTTTAAAACCTTATTTACATTAATACAATTAAGATTTTAACAATGTTTTTTTTATGTTCTTAAGTAATTAAATCATCTTCATTACAATACTTAAAATTATTTGTAAATTAAAGATGAATTTTGAAAACTGTTGATTAATATCAATATTATATAAGTATTCATCTATCAATTTAAAAATATTATTTAGTTCCAGTAATTTCTACGAAGATCATAGTTTACAAAGTGTACAAGTTTATTGTTGGATTCTATATCAATTTTCGTAATGAAGACTGGTATGATGTTCGTAATTCGGATGGTGCGAAGAAGACGTTGGATTTGCTTCTCAGGCGTAATTTCGCACGGTTATTCTTGCTAAGTTGCGGTATCCTGTCAGAAGTTTGCGGTGCAAAGTTCATCCTTTCATTGTCTCCGCAAACAAACCGAAGACAGAAAGACGGCTATAACGAGGTTTTCTCACTTCTAATTAAAATATTCACAATCTCTGAAAACTTTTTTTTTATTTTAATTAATAACAAATTTTTGTCCATAAACTGATTATTATTAGCGTCATGATATATTATCTTGGTAAAAAGTCCTTAAAGAAGTTGTTTTTTAAACATTGAAATTGAAAATATGTATATTATTGTTTAAAAATATGCGACGGGACGGATAGAAGCTCTAGTCGGGTTAAATCTGGCCCGCAGGCCTTAGTTTTCCCATCATTGCCGTAAGGAAACAAGCCGTTATCATCGTACAATAATTTAGTGTTAGGAACAATCGTTTACCTCTGATATAACGTATATTGAAATCGATTTCGAAATGTTTATAATTGGATTGTGTTAACGATTTTCGGTCACAGAATTTTCGCAATGAATTAAAGTAACTACTCGAATCCACCGTAAATTGCAAACGCGCACAAATCCTCTATCCAATTTCCACAGCTTCCATTGATTACATACATGCATCCTCCACGTTTTCGACACATCCCATTGACGCTCCGAACTCGTTATTGCATTACCAAGTCTCATCATAAAGTATAGAAGAAAAGGATCAAATACGTTATATTTAACGAAGCCACAAAGAAAAGTCGCAGTTTATTTGCCTCAAAACAATACAACCTTTATCTATTATTTTGGTTATTTTTGAGAACAAATACTTTCAATGAAAATTATTTTTGAAATTTGTTTAAATAATATAATTAAAATATTCCATAGAAAAACTGATACATGCTATTACACTTAAAAATACTTAATATTGGGCAAACTAAGGCCCGTGGGCCAGATGCGTCCCATATAGTGGTTCAATTCGGCCCGTCGCAGATTTTAAATCAACAATAGTAAAATCTTATAAAAATATTCAAGTTTGATGTATTTGTTTAAAAATGAATGCCTTAAGGGATGAAAATGTTAATTCATCTCTAATTTAGTTAATATTAGCTTAATTTTGTGCATTTATCATCAATATTTGTATATACACAGTAACGTCAATATAAAAAAAGGAAACTACCCTTTATTTGGTGTATATAAATAAAAGTCTCCTTTATTTTCGATACAAGAAGACGGAAATGTTCCTTTGTGTGAACAGCGAAGAAGCCAAACATTAACGTCCATTTACTTTATCATCATAACGTATGTAATATCATCCCTCCGACCAGTAGGTAAATGTTTGTAATATCAATAGTAAAATTAGAATTATTTGATGCTTTTGATAATTAGTCAGTGAAATATTTTATACATTAAATATTTGTTACATTGGGTTGACAAGAAAGTAATTTCGGTTTTGTTGTATGAATGAAACTCAAGGATTAACTTTAATCAATTATCTTTTTGGCAACTTTGACAAAAATCTGGTCAACTTTGAGTGAAAATTTATTATTATTGTTTTTGAATCCTTATATATTTGTAAACAATAATGTTATTG